GGGGGAGGGGGAGGCTCTGTGGTATGGTTCTGCTTTGCTACAATGTATACTTTCCACTGTTTCTCTACACTTACTCTTTGAAATGTCTCTCCTTTGTTGTCAATCTGGGGTGAGAAAGGAATGTGCCTCTGGACATCTGGTTTTTCTCTCGCTGTGGAAGGGAAGGTGCGAAGACCCAACAACATCTTCATAAGCATGGAAACGGACCCCATTATCAGCTCCATTCCCACAGCGGACCTAACACCTGGGGATTGGCTCATTTGAACTGAGCGGATGAACTATTGGGGTGGGGTTTTCTTGGGACTCTTTTAACCTATTGATCTGAGTGGGAAACCCTCAGATCCTGCCTTCTATGCCTGCTATCAGCTTCTCCTAATAAAAGTTCCTTTTGGAATGAAACAGTTCCAAGAGTCCTGCTTTCTTGGGGTGAGGTTTTGAAGTGGGCCCTGGCATTAGGCAGGATCTGCAGTAATAGTCAACCCAGAAGGAAGACTCTTGCCAGGGGGCTAAACAAATGATGTCTGATATCGGAATGGAAGGGGGAAAACCTGCCCTGGGGGGGGGGAGTTCTCTCACCAGACAGAGCCCAGCTGATACAGTTCTCAATCCTTGAGCTCGTCAGATGAGGTGGTAGTTGCTGAATGCTGCCACAAACCAAGGTGGTTGATGGGCATTGGGAAGAAGGAGGACTGGGAGAAGAAATCCAGGAAGGTGACGCCCAGACACGGGAGTCACCAGCCAGGTTGGAAAGTCGAGATGGAGAGGTCGCTTCACCCCAGTGAAGATGAGGACGACTGGCTGCTCCATTCCAGCCAATTCCTGGAGCAAGCCATCGACATGTTGAGGGTGACCTTCGATTCCATAAAGGAGGAGAAAGCTGACCCATGCCAAGGCACTGCCAACCCAGGCTCAGCCGAGGGGACAGATGGAGGGAGGGCTGCACCAGCAATCCCAGCCATCGCTACAGCCGCAGCCACCTCCGGACGAGCTGCACCAGCTGACGGTGGCCACTGACATAAGAGGCAGGGGGGGCATCGATCCATCTGAAAGGTCCCGCCGTTAGGAATAAGGTACTGTGGAGAGCTGCACTGACTGGGGTTTTTCCTGACTCAAGTGTTGAACTACATGGAAGAATATGGTCATGAAATACCTAATACATTGTGCAAACAGCCCTAGATGTTTGCACATCTCCCTTCCCTGTCCTCCTTCTTTCTTACACCGATTGACCACCTCGGCTTCTAGAGGGTCTCCCCAGTCACAGCCTCGTCTTCCTAGTCAGAGGAGTCGAAGGAGTCAGAGGAGCTGTCGCTGGGGCAAGCCTTGGGGGGGGGGCTCTACCCAGCACTCACTCTCTTTCCTCTCATTGCCATGGTTAGATATCCTGTGCACAGTCCTCACAGTAGGGGTTTTCGTCCCTCTGGTTTGACCACTTTGGAGATCCTGCCTAACGTAAGGACCTGCCTCAATTAGTTCTCCCAAGAAAGCAGAACTCTTGAAACTTGCATTGTCTCAACAGGAACTTTTATTGGAAGTTATTAATAGCAGGAGAGTAAGGCAGTATCAGAGGATTTCCCATGCGAAACATTACATTAAAAGAACCTTTTCAAACCTCTCCCCAAATGTCTACACTGTATAAAGCGAAATTACAGTATCTAATTCAGTGGAAAGGCTATCCTTTATCAGACGCTATGTAGGTAAAGAGCAAAGATGTAAAGGCAGATAAATTTCATGATAAACATCCCCAAAAATCTAAAGAGCATCTGAGTGATAGAGCAGGAGGTTAGCAAGACACTAATATGTACCTATGCTTGTTATCTTCCAGTTACTTCTTTCTTTCTAGGGGAGTCTGACTGTCAACTTTTGAAATGAACTTGGCCGAAACCATTTTCAGTCATTCTCAGTTGCCACACAGACTGGGGAGGGGGGGAAGAAAATGAAAGTATTGCCAGACATAGCACAGGTGTTGGAAGATGGAAAGGAGGGGTGACAAAAAGCCCGCCAACTGCCTTTATTGGGTAGCGTGATCTGTGACATTTGAGGGAGAAGGGAAATGTTACATTTTATTACATTGAATCTGTGAAAATATTTTGGAGTTGTTTCACTTTTGATTGTGCTGATATTATATATCCAATAAACATGTTCTTTGAGGAACCTTCAAGCCTCGGAGTTCTGATTTGTTTGGGTTCATTAGTTGGAACCTTGACAACTGCTTTATAATACCTTGGTAAGACCACACTTGGAATACTGCATCCAATTTTGATCACCACAATATAAGAAAGCTATTGAGACTCTGGAAAATGATTAGGGGACTGAAGGCTAAAACATATGAAGAATGTTTGCAGAAATTGGGTATGTCTAGTCAGGGCTTTTTTTCTCATAGAACGCCCAGAACGCAGTTCCGGCACCTTTTTTGGATGGAACCTTGTAGGGTAGGCAAGGTGGGTTGTATGACGTGTGTGAGTTCCAGTGCCTTTTTTTTTTAAGAAAAAAAGCACTGTGTCTAGTGAAAAGAAGAACTAGCAAAAGGATACCATCGATCATGGTATCCTTTTGCGACAACTCGAAGGGGTGGGAGTGGGAGGCACCGTTTTACGGTGGTTCTCCTCCTACCTCTCTGGCCGGTCACAATCGGTATTGGTGGGAGGGCAGAGGTCAACCCCGAGGCCCCTTGAATGCGGCGTGCCACAGGGGTCGGTCCTCTCTCCCCTCCTATTTAACATTTATATGAAGCCACTGGGTGAGATCATCAGACAGCACGGGGTGAGGTTTCATCAGTATGCTGATGATACCCAGTTATATATCTCCTCCCCGAGCTCTCTCAGTGAAGCGGCCGATGTGATGGGCCGTTGCCTCGAAGCCGTGAGGGTCTGGATGGGGGTTAACAGACTCAGGCTCAATCCTGACAAGACCGAGTGGCTTTGGATGTTGCCTCCCAAGGATCATGTCGACTGTCCAGTGTTGACTCTTGCGGGGGAAAATATACCCCCTTCGGAGCGGGTTCGCAACTTGGGTGTCCTCCTTGATCCACAGCTGAATTTGGAACATCAATTGACGGCTGTGGCTGGGAGGACCTTTGCACAAGTTCGCCTGTTGCACCAGTTGCGACTCTACATGGACCGGGAGGCTCTCCTTACAGTCACTCACGCCCTTGTCACCTCACGTTTGGACTACTGCAACGCGCTCTACATGGGGCTACCCTTGAAAAGTATTCGGAGACTACAGTTGGTCCAGAATGCAGCCGCGCGAGTGATAGTGGGTGCTCCTCGATACACCCACGTTACACCTATCCTCCGTGAGCTGCACTGGTTGCCTATTGGTCTCCGGGTCCAATTCAAGGTGTTGGTCATTACCTTTAAAGCCCTATATGGCTCAGGGCCAGGCTATTTGCGAGACCGCCTACTACCTCATAGTTCCCTACGTCCGGTTAGATCCCACAGGCTGGGCCTCCTTCAGGCCCCGTCGGCCAAGCAGTGCCATTTGGCGGGGCCGCAGAGGAGGGCCTTCTCTGTGATGGCGCCCACGCTTTGGAATCAGCTCCCCCTGGAGATTAGGACCGCTCCCACCCTGTTGGTCTTCCGTAAGCTACTTAAGACCTGGCTTTTCCGGCAGGCCTGGGGTTTATAAAACCTTACCCCTGGATGATTGTTTTTGTATTGTTGTTTTGTTATGTTTTATGTGTTTTTTATTGTTAGCTGCCCAGAGTCTTTCGGGAGTGGGGCGGCTTATAAATTTTAAAAATAAAATAAATAAATAAACTAGGGTTGACATGATTTCAATGTTCCAATATTTGGGGGTTTGCCACAAAGAAGATGGAGTCAACCAATTTTCTAAAGCACCAGACGGCAGGACAAGAAGCAATGGGTTCTGTTATTCTGTTATATTTTATTCTTGATAACTTGCGGGCAATACAAGGGAGCCATGGTTTAAGTATATGTGGAATATACCCGTGCCATTTTACATTTGGCTGGAAGAAATAATTTTACTTATGCTCAGTATTATTTTTTTTATTAAATAGTTATTTCCATTCATTTAGTGGTTCATTAATTTTGAGTAAGTGATTCTCTTTTTTCAGACACAGTGTTTTTGAGTTATAAAATGTGGTTATGTGTGTCCCCTAAATGGTTTTGCCTGCTCCATTATTATTGTTCTTGTTTGCTTAGGTTCCCTTTTAGTTCGCTTTGTAGACAAGGTACTTGTTCATGATGGATCCTCATCCAATGGATAAAGTTGATCGGCTGCCACATTCTGCTTGCAATTTCACCCATTGAAACACACTAAAGTACTTTTCAACCATTACCATGAAATGTAATTCAATTAATGGGGAATGAGTTTACAGTTTATTTTTATTTGAGAATATGCAGTTCTTATTGCATTTTATAAAATAGGTTATTAGAATACTTTGATAGTTATGTGTATCTGATAGATTAGGCATTCAGAATTCTTTAACAACACTCCCTTTTATTTAGAATAAATAAAGATTGCGATATGCTAAATGTGCAAAAATATAGTGACAGTTATGAAGGAAATCTGAATTCTGCAGTGTTATTTCTTTGAATTATAATTTCAGTTTTTATCTCTGTCTTCTTAATATTTTAAATCAAAAGCAGCACAGAAAAATTGGAAGGTGTAAAAATCTTTGTACTTTCTAAAAATTAATAATCAGTATTTGATGTAATCTATATTCTTTTTCTTAAAGAAAAAGGTTATACAGATGGAAGAAGTTATCTTCAAGGAGACATACTATAGAAGACAGCAAAACATCAGGGTTAAAGAGATTTTCCACCAATTACTTTTCTATTCCTAATCATATATTTCAAAGATTACTGTTTATTTAAAAAAAGCTGGAGAAAGTTGTGGCAGAAAAGTTCGTTGATCTGCTGTATTTTTTTTTCTGAACAGTTGCTAATTATGAAATAATAGATTACTTAAACCTTTAATTTGACAATTCAATCAAATCTATTTTCTCTCTTTTTCTTACTTATTTCTCAATTCATTTTCAGAGCAAAAAGAACATTTTGAATTTATCATTGTGTCCCTTACTGGCCAGACATGGCACTTTGAAGCTACAACATATGAAGAAAGAGATGCTTGGGTCCAAGCAATAGAGAGTCAGATTCTGGCCAGCCTACAATCATGTGAAAGCAGCAAAAATAAGGTTAAAATGCTGACATATGCACAAGATCCATATTTCAGCACATGCATGCTTAAGAATTATCTTCATCATCATCATCATCATCACCATCACCCATTCTGAACGAAAGCTTCTCATTAAAATTGCACGAAAGCTTCTCATTAAAATTTTTCTAGTAATGCCTTTGGACTTCAATAGATAACTGACAAAATATTTATCAAATTGGCTGAGAACTAGTCTAAGTATATGAAAAGATAGTCAAATCACATACTTTTGAAAGCAATGCTTTACTTATAGTATGTATAATTACTTATAGGTATTTGACTTAATTTATTCAGTTTTTCCCAATGGAACTTAATAAATGAATAAATTCAGCTAGGCCTGGGTATACGTCTTTGGAATTTATATTATATGAAATATACATTAATTGGGAAATTTAGTTAAGATTCAATACATTAAGAGCCATGGTGGCACACTGCATAGAATGCAATATTGCAGACTAAATCTGCCCACAGCCAGGAGTTTGATCCTGACAGGCTCAAAGTTGACACAGCTTTCCATCTTTCTGAGGTCGGTAAAATGAAGATCCAGGTTGTTGGGGGCAATATGCTGATACTGTAAATTGCTTAGAGAGTGCTGTAAAGCATATGGAGCAGTATATAAGTCTAATGCTATTCCTCCTAAGTAATTTAAAACAACTTAGAAAGTTTATGATTTTAAACAAAATAAGTTAAATTGTATTAGCAGGAACAGTAGTTACTATAGCTACTGAATGATATGGTCATAAAAATAACATGAATATTTAACAAGAATTTAACATTTGTTTAAAAAGGGGAGATGGGACAGATGGGGGGAAATCGATCTACCATATTATACCTAGTTACATAAAGTATTATATGATTCTCCTCAAATACATCACTGGGAGTTCCTATAGTAAGTCTTAGGATTCACCTAATATAGAGACTGAAAGTCTCTCTTCATAGAAACTGTATCTCCAGATCAAAGTAGAGGTCATTAGCAGACCAGAGTCTAGGGGCTTTTAAAGCAAGCCATTGAATCAACTCTGATATTTGCTTGAAACTGCATGATTTTTTCCAGATTTTTCTGCAAATAAAAGTGGAACTTTGAAAAATTGTTTTAATTTTTCAGAATTTCTGTATGAGAATGGATTGTTCTCTGTTCAGTGTATGTATTAATAATACCATCCTTCAGTGTTGAACTTGCTTTACCTCTGATAACTCCAGCTAGATTCTGAACATCCTATTCTCTATATGCCCCTTTACAGGTTGAAAAAAGCTTGAGCTCTCAGTAATGTGGTAAAAATTTTAAGCTGTTCTTCTCAGATCCTGAACTGAAGCTAAGGGATCAACTCTCCAAGAAGCTACTGTAACTAAAGGGTCTATGAAAATTCATCTTGGCCAACTTGCCAGAGCCAACTTACCAAGGCCAACTTGCCACAGCCAACTGTCCGTGGGACAACTCGCCACAGCCAACTCGCTGTGGGACAACTCACTGCAGGACAAGAGTTACACTAATATCAAAGAAATGGTGGAATAAAATAATTAAAGAAAGGATGCAAAAGGAGGGAAAGAATAAAATGTGAATGACAAAAATTAAAATATTTTTTTACTTATTTTAAATAATTAAATTGAATTATTAAATTGTCTTGCTGCAAGTTGTCCCATAGCAAGTTGGCCGTGGCGGGTTGTCCTGTAGCGAGTTGGCCATAGCGAGTTGGCTGCAGTGAGTTGGCCGTAGCGAGTTGGCTGTGGCAAGTTGTCCCATTCTGCTAACTAAAGGCATCAAATGCTGTGATCATTCCACCTCTGTTTGAACTCTTTATGACCAGCAGACAAAGGTGTTGTGCCTGCATTTTCTTTAAGTCTTATCTGTTGTTTATATATTTCTTTAAATATGTACAGTCCCGACTATCAAGTCAGAATGAGGTCATGGCTCTTCAGTCAATAAGAAACTTCAGAGGCAATTCTCACTGTGTAGATTGTGAAATACAAAGTAAGTACAACCATTTCTATATAAGAAAGGTCATCCTGAGCTTCTTAAAGCTTATGGTCTTTCTTGCATACTTGTGTTGCTCTCTTGCTATCGTGTTCCATTTTTCTTTTTTTGTTTGTGTTCATTAAAAATCTGATTTTAATGAACATTCTGATTTGGAACACTGCTGTCTTTTTCTGTGTCACTGCTATTATCCTCTAGTAAGAGAAAAAATATTGGCAACTCGTAAATAATTTGTTATTTTTCTTAGTGGGCTAAGAAGAGAATCCTAATCATGCTAGCATCAAGTATTACTCCACTCAGATATATGCCATAGTAACAATAAAATACTGAGTGAAGTGCTCAGTATCAGTTTCTTGAATATATTTGCACTTCAAGGTTGAAAAAAAAGCATAAAGGATTGGTTCCAAATTTTTCTTCCTGCTCAGGAAGCACTTTTTTTTTTCAGGGAAGATAGATAACTGCAAAGGGTGAAGATGAACATTTTCAACATTGCCTGGTTTTCAATAGCATTTTGCCAAATCCAAAGGCTTCTGTGAGTAAAAAAAAGAAACCTATGTGCAGAAGTTTCTGGATCAAACTCATTATGAGCAAAACAGTTTTCTTTTTCTTTTCTTTTTTATTTACTTTTATTTATTTTTAAATATTGACATTTTGCTGTTTAAATCAAATCTACTTTCTGGGCTGTTTAGTTTTTATGTATAATGCATAGCTGTTAAGAGTTGCTAAGGAAAAGTGAAACTTGTTCACCTGTTGATCTCTATACACTTATCTGCTTCAGCACAATTCAAACTGTTCATATCTGACTCCCCCCCCAGTTAGAATGGGATTATGAAAATAGAGAAGTAATTTTAAAAGAGCAGTATATCCTAGTTATTTGAAAAATACTGTAGCCTACATTTATTGTCTATTAAATTTAACTTTATATATTTAAAAAGTTGTGCAGTCAATTTTTTTTGCATTTAGTTCATGTGTTATCTCATAAATAGCAACATATCTGCTTGGACTGGTTTGTCCATTGTTTATTTGAGTGGGATTTACAGTTATCACCCCAAAATCCACTCATTTGTCTTAATGTGCACATTTAAAGCTTTCACAAGGCAGGAAGATATCCAGTTTTATAATCTTGAATTGTATTAAATTAAATTAAATTAAAATTAACTTAAATTAAAAAGATATACATCCATGATAAATATGTTAAGATTATGATCTGTTAACTAAAGTGAGATTATAATTATTAGATAGCAGTGCTAATCTTAACATGCTCAGATGATCAGTCTAGAGTACTTTTTGCACAACAATTGTTCTTTTTTGTATAGAAAACATCCAAAGCATATTTTAATATTTTATCATTATATTCTGCATTTACACAATCTAAATTGCTTTGAAGAAAACATTAAATTACAAGCTAACTAAATCAGATAGTTTGTGCAGCATTTTATGTCACCCCCTCCCCTCCAAACTACACTTAACCAAAGCTGTTATTAAACTAAGCTTAACGTGTCTGAATACAACCACTTTAAACTGATTAACTTAAGCATAGTTCACAAATGAATATGAAAGAATGAATACACAAAATGATGGGTATTAGAAATATAGCTTGTAATATGTTTGATTCAGTTAAGTTGGATTTTTTTTCTCTCCTTTATAAGTTTAACCAATATTGCTCTCCTCTCTGCTTGCCATTTTTTGTCTTTAATTTTCTAGCCCTCCTGTAAGGGGCATGATGGCCTAGTGGTTAAGATGCTGGGCTTGTCAACTGTAAGGTTAACAGTTCGAGAGCCAAGTACCATGTGAAGAGTTGAGCTCCCATTTCTGCCCCAGCTCCTGCCAAACTAGCATTTTGAAAGCATCCAAATGCAAGTAGATAAAACAGTGTTCCATGTGCCTAAGCATATAGTCATGCTGGCCACATGACTATGAAAGCATCTTAGGACAATGCTGGCTCCCTCGATTAGGTATCGGAGATGAGCACTGCTCCAGAGAGTCAAATATGGCTGGACAGGGAAAACCTTTATAGATACCTTCTAGGCATCCTATTTTGCTGTCATTTTCTCTTCAGAACAACAAAAAAGATATATTTTTTCATGTCAGAGCATTCTCCTTTTCATTCTGTCACTCAGAGTACATAAGAAGAATAGGGTAATAAATATTATGTCTTTTGGATCTTAAATCCTTTAATCCTGTTTCATTTATTCTTTACTACATTGTATATCGTAAACAAAAAAGTAGTTATGCTACTTCAATGAAGAGGAGATAAGAGTTAGTCCAGATTATTAGTAGAAAAATGTTTATTTTGTTTTCTTTATCGATAGATCCTGACTGGGCAAGTTTAAATTTGGGAGCACTCATTTGTATTGAATGCTCAGGGATACACCGAAACCTTGGTACACATTTATCACGTGTCCGTTCACTTGACTTGGATGATTGGCCTGTGGAACTCATCAAAGTAATGTCCTCCATTGGAAATGAATTAGCAAATAGTGTATGGGAAGAAAAAACCCAAGGCCATGCAAAACCTGTTCCAAACTCCACAAGGTAGGATCCTTTTGTAAAAACATTTTCAACATCTAATTTCAAAAAGCAATATATGATCTTAGAAAAGTTCATCTTTGGGAGGTATCTGAACAGCAAGTTCTATAGATATTTCAGCCATGAATTTTGTATCTAAACCTAAAGTAACCTCTTGCTGCGCTTAAAACTTCTTGGTCACATTGAATTTTACTTCCTGTTAAGACTTGGTAGTTTACAGTAATGCATTGTATTTTTGTATTTTGTATAAAGAATTCATGGTACAAACTAAAAATATATAACCATAAAATTATAAAACTTAATTATAATTACATGAGTCCAATATCTAAGGAAATGAAAATAATTACTAAGTCAGAGTTATACTAAATGATTACTAAATAATATGATTATTTATATTTACTAAATAATATGAACGATTTCTACATAAACCACAGGCGTGCTACAATGGTCACAGTCTTCAGTGTGAAAAACGGTCATGACACTTTTTTCAGCGCCCTTGTAACTTTGAACGGTTGCTAAGTGAACTGTTGTACGACGAGGACTACCTGTAATAATAATCCAATTGTCTGAAATGGTGTAGGGTTTCCTGCCTAAGCAGGGGGTTGGACTAGATGACCTCCGAGGTCCCTTCCAACATTATTATTATTATTATTATTATTATTATTATTATTGTTGTTGTTGTTGTTGTTATTATGGATCATCGCACAATCAGCCAGATGTTCAGACTGGATTTGGCATTTTGTCTACCTATCGAGTCCTTACCCAGGACCTGGGATAGGCAGATGTGGATGTTTCATGGTATTACAGGTATCGTTGCAGGATGGAAGCAGTTCCTAGTAAGGCCGCCTTTTGCAATTGACTAATAGCGAATTTGTCAATGCCAATGGTGTTCAAGTGGTGCTCCAGTTGTTTTGGGATTGCACCCAAGGAGCCTATTACTATTGGTACTACCCTTGCTTGCTTTTGCCACAGTCTTTCTATTTCTATTTGTAGGTCTTTGTATTTTGTTATCTTCTCCAGTTCTTTCTCTTCTATTCTGCTGTCTCCAGGCACTGCCACGTCCACTATCCAGACTTTTTTGTCTTTCTTATCGACAATTGTTAAGTCTGGGGTGTTATGTTGCAGGTGCTTGTCTGTTTGAATTCTGAAGTCCCAGAGCAGTTTAATTTTATCATTTTCTATGACTTTCTCGATTTTATGATCCCACCAGTTTTTGCTTACAGGCAAATGATATTTTTTGCAGATCTTCCAATGCACCATTGTTGCTACTTTGTCATGCCGCTGCTTGTAGTCAGTCTGTGCAATCTTCTTGCAACAGCTTACCAGGTGGTCCACTGTTTCTTCAGCTTCTTTGCATAGGCGGCACTTACTGTCTGTTGCTGTCTTCTCAATTTTGACTTTATGTGCATTTGTCCTTAAGGCTTGGTCTTGTGCAGCCAGAATTAGTCCCTCGGTCTCTTTCTTCAATTTTCCTGCTCTTAGCCATTGCCAGGTCTTGTTATTATCTGCTTTCCCAGCTATTTTTTTCATGTATTGGCCATGTAGTGCTTTGTCTTCCCATGCCTCTATTCTGTTCTTCATTTGGTCTTTCTTGTAGGCCAGTTTGGTCTCTCCAGTAGTCAGTAAGCCTTCCTGATATACTAATTTCAGTGCATCTTCATCATTGTTCTTCAGATATTCTTCCAAAGCCATTTTTTCTTCTTCAACCATCTGATGTACTTGTAGCATTCCACGCCCACCTATTTGCCTTGGTAGATAAAGTCTGTCAATGTCACTGCGTGGATGAAGGGCATGATTCATTGTCATTATTTTTCTGGTCTTCCTATCCATTGCTTTTAGTTCTGCTTGAGTCCAGTCCACTATTCCAGCTGTGTACCTAATGACTGGGATTGCCCAGGTGTTGATTGCCTTTATGGTATTTCCTCCATTGAGTTTGGACTTTAAGATCTTCTTCACTCTCTTGATGTATTCACCTCTAATCTTTTTCTTGACTTCAGTGTGCTTGATGTTGTCAGCTTGAAGGATACCCAAGTATTTGTAGTACTCTTCCTCATCCAGACTCTTAATGTTATTTTCGTGGGGCATCTTGATTCCTTCAGTTTTCACTATTTTTCCTTGTTTGATAGTAAGTGTGGCACATTTGTCCAGGCCAAACTCCATAACAATATCTTGGCTATATATACGGACAGTGTTGAGCAGCGATTCTATTTCAGATGATGTTTTTCCATACAGCTTCAGATCATCCATGTAAAGGAGATGGGATAGTCTGGTAGATGTTTTTGATGTTTGATAGCCATGTCCTGAGTTATTCAGTATTGTTGACAGAGGAAACAGTGCAATAACAAATAGTAATGGTGATAATGAATCTCCTTGAAATATTCCTCTCTTGATATTAACCTCTCCCAGTCTCTCACCATTGATCTGCAACTGTGTCTTCCATTGTGCCATCGATCTTTGCACAAATTTTCTGATGTTTCTACTGACTCCTGTTATTTCTAGGCACTTGATTATCCAGTCATGTGGCAGAGAGTCAAATGCCTTTTTGTAGTCAATCCATGCCACATTCAGGTTGGTCTTCCTTTCTTGCAGTTTTCCAAGATCATTTTGTCTATTAGGAGTTGATCTTTTGTTCCTCTGCTATTGGGGCGGTTTCCTTTCTGCTCAGGTGGAAAGAGATTGTTTTCAACTAGATGCTGTTGTACTGCATCAGCTACCACACCAGTTAGTAATTTGAAAGTTGTTGGTAAGCAGGTAATTGGCCTGTAGTTACCTGGTGTTGCCCCTTTTGCTGGATTTTTCATTATTAGGTAGGTTTTCCCAGTTGTTAGCCACTTTTCAATTTCTCCTCCTTGTAGTATATTGTTGAACTACTTGGCAATGAGTGGGTGTATAACAGTTAGATGTTTCAACCAAAACCCATGCAGTTCATCTTCACCTGGTGCTGACCAATTTTTGATTTTCCTTGCTCTTTTTTCTACCATTTTTGTTGTTATTACTAGTTCTTTCATTTCAGCTTCTGTTTTATTTGCATCCACCTCTTTTAACCAAGCCGCATCCTTGTTGTATTTCTTTGGGTTATCCCATATCTGCTTCCAGAACTGCACTGTTTCTTCCTTGTCAGGTACTGATTGATTCATTGCAGTTTCTCCATTGATGGATTGGTAGAAATGTTTCTGATTGGATTGAAATTGGAGGTTCTGCCTATAGTTTGCAATTTGAGCTTCATATCTACTGATTTTCCTGGCTATAGCTGTTATTTGTTGCTTTATTATTTCCAGTGCTTCCTTGATCTTCCTTGTTTCTAAGTGGTATTTCTTGATTAGGTATTCTTTGGTCTTCTTATTCTTCAGCTTTTTTTCTTTCATCTGTTCTAACTTGCTTGCATGTGATCTTAACTTGCTGATCTTATTTTCTAGTCTAACCTTCCACTTTTATGGTTCACTGTTTGTTTGTTTTTCTTCTTTGTTGATTTTGCATCCCAGGTATTCAGTTATAACTGCAGCTGTGCTGTACATTAGTTGGTTTGTTTCTTGCAGCAAATTGGTGCTTATACTTGATATTGCAGTATTTGCATCTTTTAATGCTTTTGCTAGCTGTTTATTTGGAACAAGTTTCAATGCAGGCAGCCTTATTCTGTTGTTTCTGTGCTGTTCTAGATGCTCAATTATTCTTTGTTTCAATTCTTTTATTTCTTTAGTTAGAGGGTTTTGTTCTTCCTGAGGAAGTGGTGCCTGGTTTCCAAATGAGAACAGTTGTATATCTCTGCTGGATTCCTTCACTGCCAACTCCCCCTGGTTTGCCTTTACATTCTGAATTACTTCTGGTAAGGCTTTGATTTCTTTGCCCTGGGTAAACCTTTGCAGTTCGTCCAATTCTGTTTCTGTGAATACTTTATTTCGTGTTATAAATCGGCGTTGATCTGCTAGTCTCTGTTCTGTTATTTCTGATTCTGGATGTTGTTCTTTCCAGAACTGGTGCATTCGTTTTAGATATCCTCTTCTTGTTGGACTTGATCTGTAGTAACAGATCATTATTTCTTTGTTTTCCATCACTGTGTATCTGCGACGGGTAAACACCTTTTCTTCCAGTAGTTCTGCAGCTGCTGGCCCTGATTGCTCAGCCAACAGTCCTGAGTCCTGTAACCCATTTTTCACCAGATATCCAGGAACTCCAATATCTAGTGCGGACCTTGTTAACCCGGGCGACGTCCGAGCCGGTATGGCATTCTGAAATTTACGTCTCACCATATTTTTTTATGGGAGAGACACTCTTTGTCTGACTCCTCTGATGAGACCTGTCCAGTATGGTTGAACCTCTGGCATAGCTCTCATCTTCCTCAGAGTACAGAAGCCCCACAACCCCGTCAAGGTAGTGCCTCACTGGGGTATTATTATTATTATTATTATTATTATTATTACTATTATTATTATTATTATCATTATCATCATCATCATTATTATTTAGAAATATAAAGCAAATGGTTGAGGCTGTAGCTTTTTTGTGTTCTACTATACTGAAAAAAGTCAGAAGTCACTTCTTTTTTCTCTTTATTCTTCTTTGCAAGTTTCTTCTTTCTTCTTTATCTTTCATTATTATAAATGAACCATTAATGCTAAATGATTACTAAGTCAGAACATACAAAGCTGTTTGACATTAATGTATAAATTATAAAACTGTCCCATTTTGCTAAATCAATGATCCATAGTTTAAATTTTAAAAGCTACCAAAATGTTTAAGATGTGTGTGCTAGTATGCAGTAGTTGTTTCCTTGGTGCTTCACTTTTTTTTATAATAGTTTATTGATTTTCTCATTTTACAATTGGATATTTAAAAAGCAGTATGATGACTGGGTAAATCAATAGTTCAATAGTGTACATAAATCTTTAGTATAAATCTCATGTTACAACATCAAATATTTCCTCTCTTTTTCCATTAATATCTGTTATCTCATATTGGGCTAGTACAATTCTTACTATTATCAACTAAATAAAAACATCTTTGCTACG